GGGCCAGTTTATCTTCAGGGTATCATCCACAGTCCAACGGACAGACTGAGCGGGCAAATCAAGACCTGGGGTCGGCGTTGCGGTGCATCGCGGCGCGGCATCCGGCGTCATGGAGCAAGTTCCTGCCGTGGGTGGAGTATGCCCACAATTCCCTGTCACGTTCTGCTACGGGGATGTCGCCGTTTATGGTCTGTTTCGGTTTTCAGCCCCCGTTGTTTCAGATCCAGGAGGCAGCAGTGGCAGTCCCGTCCGTCGATGACCATCTCCGGCGGATTCAGGAGGTGTGGGACTCGGCGCGGGCAGCTATCACCCGGTCGGGGGAGATCAACAAGAAGATGGCTGACCGACATCGCGTCCCCGCACCGGCGTACAGGGTAGGACAGCAGGTGTGGTTGTCCGCGAAGGACCTCCCCCTGGCAACGGAGGGCCGCAAGATGAACCCAAGGTACGTCGGACCATACCCTATCGAACAGATCGTCAACCCTTCGGCGGTTCGTCTGACCCTGCCGGCGGCCCTGAAGGTACATCCGGACGTTTCACGTCTCACTGTTGAAACCGGTGGGGGAGAGCGAATTCAGCCCTCCGGCCAATGCTCCCCCGGCTCTCCTGGTCATCGAGGGGCATCCAGCACACAGGGTTTCCCGGATACTGGACGTCCGGCGTCGGGGGCGGGGGTTTCAATATCTGGTGGATTGGGAGGGGTATGGACCGGAGGAACGATCTTGGCTGCCCCGCCGGCAGATTTTTGGCTCCACATTATTCCGGGAGTTCTATCGGGACAATCCGGGTAAGCCCGGGCGGCCGCCAGGAGGCGCCCGTTGAGGGGGGGGTACTGTGGGGATACGGGACAGGGTCACAAGGGGGAGCCACAGTAATTCTGGAGGTAGCGGGTGGGACTCTTGTTCTCTCTTCTGTGGCCTAATCAGATTGATGCAGGGCAGCTGGGAGGAGTGCACTCATCGCTGGCAGCTGCTGCAAGTCTTCAGGGAGCAGTTAAAGAGGGACATCTTTCAGAGGTTCGGCGCCGAGGGATTGCCGAGTACAGCTTTCCAGACACGCGGTTTCCTGGGTCCGGAGACTTCAGTGGCTTCCATTCCTACGTCACGAGGGAGACACGGGACGCCGCCGACGACGGCGGTGCATTGCCGGAAGGCCTGAGTATTTGAGTTGTCGTTTGGGAAGAGAGACAATAAATACGCATTTTGTGTTTATACTTTACCTGGTTCCGGTGTTTGCTTTTGGATCCCTCTCACGAGCCGTGACAAGTTCACTTCAGAGAACGCGAGTTGGTGGGGGGGGGTTGCATTCTGTATGCTGAACTCATTCTGTATGCAGAAACGCGTGTGCGCTCACACCAGGTAAAGCATCACAACTGTTTATGTTGTTGTTCTTTGTGACAAACAGCTGGGCCTGATCTGAGGAAGCCATGAACACACCAGTGTGCAACATCATGCGCCTGCTCTGTAGGCCATATTTTATCTGCTGGAATGGCTGAACCACCCCACCATTCTGCTCTATTATAGGGTTTGAAGCCGGGAAGAAGAAATACTCTTTTTGTGTCAATGAACAGTGCAGGGAATACCTTTAAAAAAATAATGATGTATAAATAAATAATGTTGTGCTGAATTAGCACGCCCCCCGTATTCAAGACATTTTATTTCCAACACGACTTACGGACTGATGTGTTAAGTAGAAATAGAAGAAAGAAAAAAACTTCCTCCTCCATTGAATGATAGAAATCGTGCCGGAGACATTCGCTTGCACCTTGCGTCATCTAGTGGCCGGATGGGACCGCTTCCTCGGCGCTGCTGCTCGGCTCCTCGGCGCGGGTAGAAGAAGGAAGGAGGAGGAGGAGGAGGAGGGGTGGTGTGTGTGTGTGTGTGTGTTGGGATGGGGATGAGGGGGGACCCCACTAGTCTGCTTTTGTCCCCGGGGAGCTCCGGTCGATGCCTCGTCCCACCATATGTCTGATCGCAGCTGCCAATCAACAGGTCAACGCGACCCCGGGGAGGCAGACACTGGTGGGGAGAGATCAAACAGCGGACCTCGGGGATGGCAGATGCAGATGGAAGAAGAAGAAGAAGAAGAAGGGGAAGAAAAAAAATAGGTCATAATAAAACATTGCTTCAAAGATGGCAACGGTGCACTAGGAGGCAAATTATTGTTAACAGTAATCTGCGGAATAGCGCCTCGCATTCTGATCGATTGACTATTATGGAGCCTTTGAAGCCGAGGTGACGCCGGGCTATTGTTCACGGTGGGACGCGACCAGAAAATAGCAGCTGCTTTTGATTCAACCAGGGCGCTTCCTAAGCCGTAAATACTCCTCACTTCTATGCAATCACGCTTCATAATAGACTCGCAATTTGGAGTCCTCGTGGCTTTGGGCCCATTGAGAGTCATTCGCACATCCAGTTGCACGACTACAGGCTTCTGGGGGGGGGGGGTGAATTCAGTCCAGCAAATGGCAAGTAGGTGGTTGTCTATTAATAACTTGTAACGTCCACGTCAGTATCATTTTAGAATAGGTTTCAAATTGTTGGACATGAATGGCCTGGTTTTACATACGGTTTGTTTGTTTCGTTATCAGACCTTTTTGTGATATTTGAGTCTGAGCGGTTATATTGTTTTTGTACACTTACCACCTAAAAATTAACTGCAGCGCTCTCAATCAAACTACGTCAATATTAAATAATGAAATAGATGGGAATTAGTCCTGGGTGACACTTCTGCTTCTGAATAGAAAAGCTGTAGGGAAACAAAGATAATATATATTACCATCAGGCGTGTCTGTTCATTGGTCTGAATTAGGTTATCAACCGAATACCAAATTAATTCATTAAGAACATGTTGTTAAAAGTGGACTTGAAGACTTGCAACGTTTTTTTTCCTATTTGATCCTAGATGTGAAATTCGGACCATTAAATATTCCTTTTGTCATCGTACATTTTTCAGTAGTCCTTTTTTAATGATCAAAGCCATGCATTTATTTCGAGTTAATTGTATAGCTGTAATTTGTGTACGTTTAATCACCCTAAAAGAGCCAATACATTTTAAATCCTAATCATGAAGACAAAAGCAGAGTCACTTCATTGCATTTTTTTATTACGACGTGTTAAATCAGTTCTCCCAATGATTTATATTCACACAAAAGTGAGCTGAGCCAACCTCTTCCCTTCTCCCGTGCATCTCCTTGATCCATGTGCAGGTTCATGCTTTGTCCTGCGTGAACTGTTGCATGTCGAGCCCACAGTCAAATCAATGAGATACATGTAAGCTAAAGGGAATCAGCTTCGGAATGCTGCTGTAAATGTGTTGTATTAAAACACAGCCATAATGTTTCATTGTCATCTCAGCGGGACTGATCTTCTTACCTCACTCTCTGCTAATCAGGAACAAATCTTTGTGCCTTAATCTACGGCCCCCTGCACCCTTCCGCCCATCTCATTAGATTAACAAAATACGCACATACGAACGCACAGAAACCCACAGATGCACACAAACATACACAAGCGCACACACTCGCACAGCTCATGACCTCAATCTCTTTCTCCTAGAAAGGTAGTTAATTACAATTTCGTGTGAGTTTGTTGCGCACCAGTGATTATATTTGAAGTATTTTAGCAGGAAACAGATCGACAAAATAGCTTTGGTAAATCTTTTTTGATTGCTAATAAATCATTTAAAACATATAAAAAATAATTAACAAATACCCTATTACCCTGCAGGCTTCACACAGATTTTATTATTTGGATGTGTTGTCTGCATCACTGCAAGAGTTTTAGGAATTAGTTGCGTTTGGTTTAAACTCTCGCAAATGGGCATTTGTATGCCTGTGTGTGTGTGTGTGTGTGTGTGTGTGTGTGTGTGTGTGTGTGTGTGTGTGTGTGTGTGTGTGGGTACAGCAAACATATGCAACCAAATTAAAGCCTTAAAGCTGGTGAATTGAAGAGGATTTGATGCAGAGAGTAATTCATGGGAATTAAGCAAATTAGATCTCCAATTAGCTGTCGACATTGAAGTGGAAGATTTGGTTAACAAAAATTAATTAGATGGATTTGTCATTGTTCTAATGAGCATTGCCAGAAAACAACTTTTGTGAATACCCCCCCTCCCCCCTTCTCTTTCTTAAGCTCCTTCCTTCTGACGAATTGTTTGTTGGTTTAGAGTCTAATTTCATGTCAAATATTGCCTAATTCAAATATTCAATAATTTGCAAATGGGAAGCCCACATGCGCCAGGACAAATAAACTTCAAAAAAGTCAATGTATGACCTAATCCTCTTAGGCTGGAGCACTGTGGATGTAAATGCCAACCTTTGCAAGTCAGAGAGGAATTTCACTATATTGATGTGAGAGCCAGACAGGTAGAAATTGACTTTGTTCTTATTGTGGCAGTATGTTGGAGTCATGATATGACTGAAGTGTTCCTGCTTTAGAGGCAGTTATTATTTCTAAGGTGTCCCTTCATGATATCTGTCCTTTATTTATTTTGACAGTGACTGTATTTCTGATTATTTGTGTGTCGGCCATGGCCCGTTCTTCTTCTCAACGCCGTTTCTCTAAAAAAGCCCTCCCACCTCTCTCCAATAAATCAGCCTCCCCCGCCCTCCCTCTCTCCCTGCCTCCTTCCCTTTCCTCTGCTTCCTTCATCCCTGACCTCCCGTTGTCCCCCTCTTTCTGCAGCAGCGTTTATGGATTACACTGTGTGATAAGCTTCCCATTTCTTGAAACTATTGGGGATTGCTGAGATTATCTGGCCTCATATCCTTGGGAGTTGGCTTTGTAAAGCCCGATTTTAGTCTCTTAAGGCGGAAGATTTTGCATCCCGAAAGCTTTGACTAATTAGCATCTAACACCGGGAGGTATTTTAGCAATGTGCTCACTTTTAGTGTTATTTGCACACACACAGACAAAGGCGCACGCACGCACACACACACAGACACACACACACGCATACAACTCGAAACTGAGACAGCTGAGTCAAAACATCACAATGTGTTGAATTCAATATACTTTAATAAGATTATAACAAAACATTGTCTTTTTTTTGTCATTCTAAAAACATTCAGATCACAAACGGAACAAGTCCGTAACAAGTCATCGAACCCCCTAAAATACTTTAATTTGCACAATATAATCCTACACTGTCCACTTAATTTCCAACACGGTGTATTTATTAGCAAATACGACTCTAAAATATATCTTTTACCCGACGGTAATTCCGGGTCAAACTGTAAGTGCAGTACAAGCTGTTCAGGGTACGGAGTCGTGGAGGCCCGGGTGGAACCCCAATTGTGGCTGCATGCTGGACCAGGGCCAGTAGACCCGTGGAGCCAAGCAGGACAGAGGGAGCGTTTGGGCTTGAGGGCAGCACCAGTAGCTCGTCTTCTGGGACCGGACGAGGGCAGGGTGGTAGGGGGGGGCCAGGGGTGAGAAGGGGAGCTGTCCCGCCACCCTGCGTACTCTCCGTCGCGCCCTCCGACATTGGTAGTCCCCGTTGGAAAAGTCCCGGTAGTTGGTCGGGTGGATCGCCCAGAAGTGGCCTTTACCGTTGTCACTGCGGCCCGCTTTGACGAAGCAGTCGTTCAGGGACAAGTTGTGGCGCACGCTGTTCCTCCAGTTTTTATCCTGTTGGGGGCAAGTACAAAAAAAAAAAAGAAGATTAGGCCAAAAATAACACCTGAAACCGTAAGTAAGAATTAAACATTGGGCGTCCCTAATTGAAATTAGGTGGCGGTTAAGTATCACTGATCCTCGTCAGTATGTCACCTTGTCCTGTAGCTGGCGGCCTGTAGCGCGTCGAGAACGTGTGTGATCGCAGCGAGACGCAACGCCCTCAGTTACCTTTTTAGCACGTCAAACCGGTGATCAACTTTAATCCAAAAGGCCACGGCAATCTGTTGTTGCACCTGGTTAAGGCAGAAGCGAATCGCAACCTAGCAACAGGATTACTTTATTTGTGAATTCGCCAACAAGAAGATCATCTAGTGTCCACGCAAGCAACTAATTGCCTAACCACTCGGCGGATTACTTTTGTGGGTTTGCTTCGCGTGCGAAAAAATGGCCGCCAGGTTATTTTTCAGCGAAGCGGTTGAGTTGAAACACGTTGGTCAAACACGAATTCCTGTCACCGGTCTCAGGATCACGTTACCGATAGCTGTGAGGAGTTTGCAACGTAAAGCAACCTGATTATTTTCTGAATAGCCGTAGGTGTGCAACTAAAATACATCAACGTTTATACCTTCCTTCGTCCCCCCAGTTTGACTTCTTGAATTGCTCCAACAACTGCTGTGGTCTTGCCAGGGAATCAAAAAAACACCACATCAACATACCTTACTCTTGAAGTAAGGGTATTGGTCCATGATCCACTGGTAGATGTCGCACAGCAGCAGTTTCTTCTGCTTCGACGCCAGGATCGCCTTGGAGATGAGGGCGATGTACGACTGGTTGGGTTTGTCCGCAGACCTTTCAGGCGCGCCGCCGTTAGAGGTGGTGGTGGTGGTCACTTCCTCCTCCCCCTCCTCTCGTTGCTCATCATCCCCCTCCTCTTCTTTGACTTTCCTCTCCTCGGGCTCTGCCTCTGACCTCTGCCGCCGCTTCTCCTGCACGCCGGAGCGAATCCCCACCTCTTCGGGTTTAGGATTCTGATGATTTAGCAGGTTGTTTGCCGTCTGCTCTGGTGTACGACTTCCTGTCGCTTCTTCTTTAGAACCTTTGACTCCTTTATTGAATAGAAGGTAGTCAATAGTGAAGCTAAATCCCAGCCTTTCTTTGCCGCCGGCGCAGCTGCTTCTGTCCTCCATTGTCATCTCGGAATTAAGACTCATTACGAAGGTTCAGTGGACTTCAAACTGACTGTTAAATAATAAATATACAAAATATCAGGTGACAAACAAAAAAAATGTTGCTCGCCCCAAAAGTTCTGTCGCAGCACAACAATTTTCCTGTAAAGTGCAGCAAACCTCATTAAACTAAACGCCTTAATTACCCTCGCTTCGTTGAAAGACTTACTGTTGACAAGATCAGAGGTAAAGATGAGCTTCTCAACTGTCGTTAACCTTGACGCGCTCACGAGCGACACGATCTTAACCTGTGGAAATTACGTAAGTCTATAAGACCGTTTTCAGCTCCTTTGTTTCGCAACCCGGTTCAATTAAATCTTTTTGCCTCTCTGACAAACCTCACTATCACTATTTTTGCTCCTTGACCGAAGGGTTGTGCATCACGGTTGTGAAGGTGTCTCTATTTATATGACTGTGATTTTATCCCTCACAGAAAGGGGCAAAGAAGCCCAGGGGAGGTCCAGGTAGGGGGTCTCAAATGAGGGGGATTATTTTTATTAACCTAAGCAAATCTTTGTAATTACGGGAGATTAAACACTCAAGATTTAGTAAGACATGGTGTGCAAAGGATGGATGCTTTACGAGCGAAGGCCTTTCAGATACCAGTGTTATCCTGTTCAAGTTGTTTTGTCTATGGGGATGTTGACCAAAGAATTACCATAGAGCATTAATTAATCGGTCAAGTTCCATGTTTTAGAAACAAAAGACAGTTAGTGGAGTCTGCATTCCCCGAAAGACCCCAAAGGTTGTGAAGACACTGACAGGTACAGTAATTAATTATTTCCACTGTTTTTTTAACACAACCTGTTTTTTATCCATATGTCCTGTGACCTTAATTCTATTGTTATTGTAAGGCCATGTACATGTTTTTTTTCACATACAAGTTATGTTTGTTGAGTTTATTAAATATCACTTGAGTGTTAAGGTCTGAGATTAAAACTGAAAGGCTGCTTTAAATTGTATATTGTTGTAATTTTTAGTTGTTTAATGTGTATTCTACTAGCGTGGTTTATTTCTTTAGAAAGTAAGCTACATTTCAGTTATTGACTTGCACTCTGTAATTATGTGTAAGGACACTATGACTTTAGCTATCTGTTTAACATTTACTGAAACATTGTCTCTTATGTACAACATAGAGATAATTTAATAATTTGTGCTTTGATAGTGATGATGTTTCAATGTCAGCGATGAAATACACCACATTTCTGTTCTTTGGTTTGAATGCAGAATACGTGTTTATGCTGATTATGTTATAATATGCGGGTCAAACATCCTGTGAATTAAAACCTTGAGGTTGAAATTAATTGTTTTTTAATCCCTTTACTCGGTTAATAATAACTGCATCGAAGAGAAGCCAAGAGGCGTTCAGTGTTTTTGACCAAGTATAATAAAAAGCACTTAATCCCCCTTTGACTTCATGTAATTTAATAGCCATGTTGTTGATATGCACAATTAAAATCCCTTGCCTTTCCTCCAGTGAAACTAGGCTACACTTTTGGTGTGGAAAACCTTTACTTTTAAAGTCCAATAATACACTATTTCTGTCCATTATTTCAGTGTTTTGTCTGTTAAGTCTCTAAAACGAATAAAGGTTTAAAAGTGTCTGTGTGCATTATTTTTATTATCATTGGTGCAGAAAACAGTAGTAGTATAGTATCTCAATGGATCGACTTTGTTGTGTGGTTTTAGTGAGGGGATGAATTAAATGAGTCAGGTCAAATCCTGGACCATATTGCCCTCTTCTGTTTAAATAAAGGAACATGCAGGCTACATGCACAGCAGAAAAATACATTCTGCCTTTATATCGGCACGCTTTTGTATTGTAATTAGCTTGATTAGTAACTTGTATGCAGACGTATGTCCTATTTATTACCAAAATCAGAATTTAAAAAACAAACATATAATGCATTGTACTAGAGAATTATGTCATTTTGGGTCTGCAATTGTAAAAAGAATTAGGGAGCGTTTGAAAACAGTTGAATACTACATTCCCTACATCTTAAATATTTAGGTTCTAAATCATATTCATTTATAATCTTTTGCATGATGCACCATGGTGGTAAAAAAAAAACAGCTGCCTTCTTAAACGCACCACATTGTTCTATAGACGTCTCGCATCCAAAGTAAAGCCTAAACAAAACGAACCATGTTATTACATGATACTGCAACTCCTTCAATTGATTTTTGTTTTCCACGAGGCTGTTATTTGCCCCACATGAGGGGCTTCTGGGAAAACAGGGCTGGATCACCAGACGGAGTCTCACTGTTCCCATATCATACTTGTTTTCTATTTTGCAAACAGCTGGACACGGCACGTGTGTGTTGTGTATTTGGACAAGGTTCGCTAGTCTGTACTTTGACGTGAGAGTGTATTTTATTTGTTTCTCATTTTAAAACCAATTATGAACATCCGTCCCTTAGACAAAGCATTAACTCCACATCCCACGGCCGGTCACAGAGCCCGTAATGGAGTATTTTGCTCGGACGGGATTTGAACACACCATGCGACCTCATCCACTTGACACCCCATGCTTTCCAACCACGTTGAATTTAAACCCCTTTGAAGACACAGGTCCACTATATCTCGATACTATAAAACCGAATTATCAAGGATATCAAAATGCTTTGACACGTGGTATCACTGATGGACACCGAGGCCTGTTTTTGAAAATAAGACCTGTCTCTTAGTGTTTTTAAAAAGTTGCACTGTAACTTTAAAACATTTAGGTCCCGCCTATTTTGCATATAGATCTTCGAGCTCTGGTTGTATCCGTTCGGTGATTGGATGAGCCTGTCCATCCATCAAAGCGGGGTCGGTGTTTCATTGGTGAAAGACTAGCCGTCGTCTCTGACTCTCGCGGTACTGCTGCACGAAGATGGCGGCCGAACTGGTGGAAGCGATGGCAAGTAGAGCTTGGCTAGCTTTGGTTTGAGGGGAGAACGAAACCGTGAGAGTGGTTTGAAACTCACCCTTGTCGAGGGGAAACGGGGGGCTTTGTCTAAATATAGTCAAGAGTCTGTAGTCTCAGAAATGTGGCGTATCGCATTCCCGACTCGGCGAACTAGCCTGTGTTGCTAACGCATAGCTAGCATGCTAGGTGATGTTAACTAATGCAAGTGCGTTGGGTTAGCTAGCATCACGCTGGCTCTAAAGGAAGACACCGAAAATGAATGATGGGACCATAAAAGACACATGGGGGTTTGCTGCCGGCGTGCTTCCCTGCGCGGTAGTATTCGATGTTATTTATCTCACAATTATGTCTCTGTAGTTGGCCGGTTAGTTTATCAAGCTGTGCACCTGTCAAAATGTCCAGTTGCCATGATTGAATACCGACAGCCCAGGCTGTAGAGAAGCTAGCCAGTCCGTTAGCGCAGCCCATATTGTTCATGTGAGGCTGATGAAAAGGCAACGACTTTATGGCTGTTTTTTAAATTTTATTTTACAGCAATGCACATCCATCGGATGCCTAATGCTCAGCTGCGTTATTGTGGACAATTAATCGAGTCACAACGATTGTGCAACTGGTGCTCAACTCGACAACGTCACACAAAGCCAACGCACGAAACATTAACGCGGCTCACGTTATTATAGTAACAACAACAACAACATTCGGCGTTGTGTTAGTTTTTCATTCGCTCTGTGCTCGTTGCGGTGTGTGTGCTCCGGAAAAGGCTGGATTGTCACCGACGCACGAGTGCGTTCAGTCGTGAACGACGTAAATGCAAATGAGATGTAAAGCGGAACACTGTCCATCAGTTATTAACGTTATGTTCAGAACGCTTTGACCGATGTGGGTTAGTATCATATTTAAGGCGTATTCTACCTCAACGGTAGATCAAATACATGCCAAACTAAAACCAGTCTGTTAAAAAACAATTATAAGAGCCAAATTTGTGGCTTATGATGTACTGACTTAAATTGATTACTGTCCAAGGTGATAACGTCTTTTATGCTTGAGGAATCTATGTGGTGTCTGTCTGTGTGCCTTATTTGTTGTGAAGTGTGTAGTAATGCTGTGAAATGCAGAGGTGCAGCCATACATTTTAACTCTGCAGAGTTTATTTTATGCTAACGCCAATTTTTCTTTGATGAACAGGGTCATAATGCAAGTGATCAGAACAAGAAGTGATGCAACTTCTGCTATATCTGACTAATGGCGAGGCAGGTTCGAGCCCGTGTAGAAATAAAGTGACTGTGGACAGGAGCTCATTTTAGGAATAATCAAATACGTTTGAGACGCCGTGGTCTCATGTAAAATCAGGCTTGACTTCACCTTTGCATATCCTCTGTCAAACAATGCAAGTAGATGCATCAATACAAAGGGACAGAATAATCATTCGTCATTGACATAATACATCGTAAAAATTACTTGTTACAATTGCCTTTCTATTAATTCTTCTAATGCAGCAACAATTTGGCCAAAACACCAAAAGGGAGTCAAGATTCCAGTGTTTAATGAATACAGTTTGTAAACATAGAATCAAATGCAGTAGTTCTGCCTCATTGTCATCAATACTAACTTCTGATTGTTATTGTAATTATGTTCATTGTGCTAATGCTCTTTTTGTTGTTGTCCCTCTAGAACATGGTCAAAAGTTTCCGGGTCTCAGACCTGCAGACGCTGCTGGCCTCGATGGGCCGCAGCAAAAGTGGGCTGAAACAGGACCTGGTGGGCCGTGCACTGAGGCTAGTGCAGACCGAATACAGCCCGGAGCTTCTGAAGAACGTCAGGCAGCTCTACGAGTCGCGCTTCCCCAAAACATCTGGCTGGCTTGCGGCGCGGCGTCCAGATGGGGTACCTGTTGGCTACTCATCCCTCAGCTCCTCCCCCACTGCCACCTCTCAGGGCGCAGACTACCTCAACGGCATTTCCAAACCGGTCGCCACACCTGCAGCAGAGGTCAAGCTGGTGCCACTGCCCTTTTACCAAACATTGGAGACACTGTTGTTACCAACAGAGCTAAGTGAGTGTATATAGCTTAATGTTTCTGTATTTAAACGATTCGTTCTTTTAGACATGCTATGTCTAAATACTGTGCTGTCTCTCTAAACATACTCAGTTTCCCAGAACAATGAGAAACTGCAGGACAGTCAATGCATATTTGAATTAACACCAAACCAAGCTGACCAGATCAGAAATGCAAGGTAAGAAAATTCAAACTTTCTCCTCTGATCTGAATTGTTTACATTACAAACTCGATAACTAATTTCCATTTCTATTGTGACCTTTCTACTCACTAAGTGAGCTTCGTCCAGGAATGAGATCAATCCAAGTGGTTCTGAGGTGAGTTCCCACTGGAACCAGTGACTGTGCTGTTGGTCGGAATTTCCCTCTCAAATGTTTATGGGGAAATGATGTTGATTGGCTAAACTCTCTGTTGCAGAATCTGTTACACTGACTCCATTGGTGTACAGGAAGACCAGTATCCTCCCAACATTGCTGTCAAAGTCAACCAGTCGTACTGTCACGTGCCGGTGAGTTACTCCCTCCAGGAATCAGGAAACATTTATTGCCGAAATATGTCAAACATACAAGGAATTTGTCTTGGTGGTTGGTGCGTGACAGTAGACAGTGTAACAATAGACAACAAGACAGCAGTGCACAAGTAATAAAATAAAATAAAATGCAATGGGTTAGTAGAATAAGGCTATGGGTTAGTATAAAATAAGAGAATAAAGTTAAAAATTTAAAATATTTTATAAAGTGCACTATCGAACGAGTGACAACAAAGTAACGACAAAGTAACGAATGAAAAATGACAGTTAAAGTGACATGTGCAGTATGAAGGGGAGTGACCGGTGGGATGTTATAGTCAGTCAGTGGGGGACCGGCTCTGTTGATGAGCTCGACTGCCTGACGGAAAGAAACTGTTGGTGTGGCGGGAGGTCTTAGTCCTGATGGACCTCAGCCTCCTGTCAGATGGAAGGGGCACAAACCGTTTTTGTCCGGGGTGAGAGGTCGGCTACGATCTTTTTAGCTCCAAGCACAAGTGTGACTAAAGTTTGGGTGTTCCTCGGTCATTCCTGTAAGCCATTTGTACATTTATTAAGTCACTATTTTGGGTGTTACTAACAAACTAGGGTAATAAAAGGTGGAATCAATGGATTAGCCAACATAATGGATGACTGGATGGTAAACGATTCAAGAATAAATAATGTACTGAAACAGAAAGTGACGCCTTATCGCCTGACTGGTCAGTAGGAAGCTCTTCCTCCTTTAGTGTTCAAACTGTTAATGCGCCATGGGAAAGCTAAAACAGCCCAGACGAGAGTTTTGCTGCTGTTTTGTGGCGTTCAGTAGTCAAGAAAGGTCAGTTAGTAAGACTAAGCCCAGTAAGACGTAAATATGAAGACTGTCTTTTTGTTTGAGTCATTCTATTCATCGATTTGTTAAATATTGGACAAACTATTGGCCTGTGATGAGCTGTGTAACTGCTGAGTAAAACCAAAAAACAACCTTTAACCTTTAACAGGTTTTCCTCAGTCAGTGCTCTTCTTACTTAACTGGCTTTGTTCGGATAATTCAAATAAGCAATGGAGTAACAGTCGCAAATAATCAACTATTAATATTAAAAGGCTTTTATTTTTGGTAAGAGTTAGAGATACATACATAGATGCATTAGCAAAAAGACGCATGCAGAGAATACAAAACCACTGAAAGTGGTAATGTTCTGAGCTCCGCGCGCCTCCTTCAGCTGCACTAAACTGAGCTCCATTTTAACGACGTACAATGAAACCGCTTATCGTCTTTTCACTTTTCTAATTTTATGGGTTGCATAACGAAAAGTGACGTCACAGCTACCCAATCATGGGCCCAGTTATTCTATTTTATGCCGTATCCAAGCCCTTCGCCGTATCCAAGCCCTTCGGCAGGAATTCTGGGGTCTGTTATGTCAACAAGTTGCAACAAAACATGATTGATTAAATCCGTGCTATTTGTGTCTGTGTGTGTGCGTATCTACAGGGCTATTACCCCTCTAATAAGCCCGGTGTGGAGCCCCGCCGTCCTTGTCGCCCTGTTAACATCACCCCCTGGTTGCATCTCTCCACTGCCACCAACCGAGTCACCGTCACCTGGGGAAACTTCGGCAAGGTCAGAGTCTGAATATTTCATGTATCCATCAATTGTCGTAGCTTAGGGTTTCGGTGCAAGCTGAGACATGCAGGCTACACATACAATAATGCTGTTTGGGCAAAATGCTGAAATACTTTTCCTAGCGTCATGATCTACAGAAGCAGCTGGAAGGCTTCTTTAGAGCTGTGTGACCCAATTAGGCATCTGCGACGTGAAAGGCAATGCAGTAGAATTCTGTTTTTGTATTCAGTTTTCCTTGTGTTAATGGTGATTTATTCTAGTGATTTGGAAATAATATGATCATGATCGCTTCGCTAAATTCCAAAAGAGTTCTACCAATGTCCTTTTTCTTTGCTCAAAGCCTCTACTGAGGTTTTTGAAGGACACTTCAATGTCTGTCATGTTTTACGTCGTTACCCCCCAAAAAAACAAAATGCAATGGCTGGTGCTGTTAGAAGCCATCACTGGACTCTTATTCTACCTATAGAATAAAACTATTCACTCCCAAGCGTGTGTGACAGCGTCCTCTCCACCTCTAATCTCCGCTCTGTGTCTGAGCGGTTGAAACAGCCCTCTGTAGTTCTTCTTTGCCGTCACCAGATGCTGGAAGAACAGATTTTGCAGCTGCGCCCCGTTCGTCTCTAAATCCCCGACTCTGATGGATGAGGTTGAAAATAGGCAATCAAGCACATTTGCATTTATATAATGTACTCTTAGAAGTTATAACAAAGATCCCAGCGATAGCGAGCATTCTTAAAAACAAAAGGTTTTCCTTAGATGTGACTTTTTTTTTATTTGAAAAATACAATAAATATCATTTTTCTTGATTGGATAATATTGATATCCAAATATTGAATATTTCCCTGTTTGCAGCGGTACTCTGTGGCGGTGTACCTGGTGAGGGTTTTCACTGCAGCCGACCTCTTCAGCCAACTCAAGCTGTGCTCCGAGGAGAGCGCAGAGCGCTGCCGTGAACGCAGTAAGCGCCGCCTTCGTACTCCCAAACAATTTAGCAACTGTGACTGAAACGTAAAACTACACCGAGAGAGAGAAGTCTTAAAAACTCTTTGCTCAAATTGTTTTAATTGGACACTAGTTTACTATATATATATATAAAATTACCATTTGTTGTCCCATAAACTATTATGATGCTTGATGATATTTTGTCCCTTGTTTGTCCGTAGTTCAAGAAAAACTACGTTTTGACCCGGAGAGTGAAATTGCGACAACGGGCCTCCGTGTGTCTCTCATCTGTCCAGTGAGTATGCCTTCGTTTTTGTATTTCGGTGGTTCTGCAGTAACAAAGGTCGGTTTCACAAATGTTTGTCCCTCTATGAATCTTGATTCCTGTGACATTCTCCTTCTTCCTCTTCTCTCTCCTCCTCACCCAGCTGGTGAAGATGCGGCTCGGTGTGCCATGTCGAGTTTTAACCTGCGCCCATCTTCAGTGTTTCGACGCCGTCTTCTTCCTGCAGATGAATGAAAAGAAGCCCACATGGACTTGCCCGGTGTGCGACAAGCCGGCCCCCTTCGAGCTGCTCACTATTGATGGGTAAGGAGACAGAAGCGTGCTCTGACTTGTCCCGCCACTGCTGCACCATCTCCCCCTCAGAATTACAGATTCACATTGCCTGAATTCACCATCTCTGTGCTTTCAAGCGATTCGAGCGGCAAAGACGTCGGAGCAGTTTAAGGACTCTTGATGATTAAGTCGAATCATGCACCGACCTACATGAGAATGAGGGTTTTACGAGGACAACATGCCAGAAATAAAAAAAAATGTGATAGTACCAGTTAATGTGGGAGATCGAAGCGCGTGACTGACAAGTTTATGCTGTGAAGAACAAATCCTTCACACGTTTGCCGTCATACCGGTCAGTTGTTCGTACTGTCAACCGATGTGAAGCGCTCTATTAAGCTGCAGGTACAACGCGTTCATCTTTAATCCGCTCGCAGTGTTTGTACTACGAGAACTGCATCTGAAAACCTCACAATAGCAGAAAAAAACAAATGTACCTGGATTTTTTATTTTTTGGGGGGGGGAATCATGATAAAATACTTTCATCCACAACCATTTGGGCGTGTAGCAACTTTCACAGGCACGCCCGTTCTTTCACAAACACTGAGAGCTTTGTGTTACCGTTTGGCTTTGAGTTATTTTTGCATTCCTTAAATGAAGCCTGTGTGAAAGTCCCTTTTTCGTTATCTGTCCAGCTTTCACAATAGTGTGGCAGTTTGAGGTATTTACAGCTGCGGAATTGTTTTTAATTTTATGTGATCTCAAAAATGGTTCAAGATATTTACTTGAATTGAGTATCTTTATTAATCTTTTGGTGGGGTTAACGTTTAAGATTGTAATGATATGCTAGTAATGTTGTAGTAATTTGAGGATTTCGGCTCCCAAAAAGGATTTATTTTACTCCCCTGCAGGGGGTGAAATCTGTTTTAGTGAGGCGACTAAGCGCCATCGTGTGTTTCAGGCTGCTGTCCGATATCCTGAAAGAGACGAGTGAGGAAATCGAGGAGATCGAGTACCTAACTGACGGATCCTGGCGACCCATCCGAGATGAAAAGGAGAGGGACCGAGAAAGAGAACGCAGCAACACGCCAGAGTACCCCGTTGTCGATATATGTAAGTGGCTGACACTGTCAATTCCGCCTGTCGCCGCCAACGTTTCCTCGTGTGTAAACCGTTACGCGGGCGCTTTTTTAAAATGGCCTCAATGTGCGCAGGCATTCCCGAGGCCAACGGCCATTCGCCGGCCCACAGCAGCACCAGCCTGACGGGCAAATCCGGGAGCGGTTCTGTGGGGACGGCGGGGGGACCTGTGGCAGGAGGCGCGGTGGTAGATCTGACTCTTGACTCCTCCTCTGAGGAGGAGGAAGGCGGAGGGGCGGGAGGAGACAGCGAGGACACTGAGGACAGCGCCGACAGTCCGGCGCCGAAGAGGGGCCGATACAACTACGACAAGGACCTGGTCACGGCCTACTGACCCGCCTCCCCCTCCAGCTCGGTCCCCTCGCAGACTGACGCGCATACAGAGACAGAGAGGCGGGAGGCTGAAGGGACAGGAGACACACTAACCCACTAGATGCAACAACCCTCCCCTCATTCCTCAGAACGTCGGAGCCTTTTAGCAGCTCTCCGGTTTGTATCCAGTCCAAACACACTCAAACAAGCTGGTAGGATTCCTCTCTGTACTGCACACCGCTGGAAGCAACTCTAGCTCTTCTTGGCCAACACTTACCTTGCAGTGAACATCTGTACCGTCCCGCCTCTACTCAACAAGACTGAATGGATCGTGCACCCCCCTCCCCCCCCCCCCCCCCTCTCTCTCTCTCTCTCTCTCCAGACTATTCCCTCTCCACCACCTCATCTCTCTTTGTATTTGTCTTGGAATTACTGGCTCTTTCAGCCGTGGGCGTTCGATGTGTGCGCCTTTTTTGATTTTTGTCACATTTGTGATGAACAACAAGTTTAAAATCGGGCTCCTCGTGCAGCTTTTGGTAAAAGGGTCAAAAACAACTGATGGAGAGGGTGGAAATTTGTGGGGGAAGACACGAGATCTCTGGAGTGATGAAAATTAAAACCTCTCCCATTGTGTTTTTCTTTCTTCAAAATATGAATTAAAACCGTGAAATATATTTTTTTTCCAGGAATTTATCCTTTTTAACAATGAAAGGGCAGATCACAATACTGGCCTCAACATGTGATGCTTTCTATTTTTTTTTTATTTTGACCTTAGATAAAGAGAACCTACCTCAGTCATAAAATTGTTGCCGACTGACCAGAGAGTAGCTTAGAAAGAAGTGGACAGAGAAACCGGTCAGTCTTTATGAAGCCAATTTTACACTGGATATTTAGTTTTCCTTTTTTTATTTTTTATTCCATCGCCCCGTACCGCTCTGCAGCCGCCGGGCCTTTTCTTAAAGGGTGAGAGTTTTCTGGATAAGCAAACTAACTGCAGGTGTCAGTGAAGTTGCGGGTTGAACAGAATTGCAGTTCTTGCGCTGTGGAAGGATTTGATAGGAGTGATTATAACGGCATTACATATTGACGAAACGCATCACAATCACTGTGCCAAAGCAGATCTGTTTTAAGAATTCACTGACGACGAGATTTAGTTGCCTTTTTTTTGTTCTTTTACTTTTAATTTGCGTGGTGAAGATGGGAGCCCATTGTTTTACGGCTCGCTGATCCGACCCCAGTCTGAGAGTAGGGTTTTATTTAGTTGAGGGTTTTTTGTTTTTCAAGCTGGAGGCATCGACAGAGAGGCAGAACACAATCTGTGGTAAAGGACCGATCAAGAGGAGCCCAAACACCCCCCCCCCCCCCAACACACACACACATTTTGATGTGCGCTTCTTGAAGTATCATATTTATTTAATAGATTCTCATTTTCTTCACCGTTGTGTGTAATCAGTTGACTCAACGTTTGGCTGTTGTTCTGTGCGTACAGAAGCTGTCGCTGCTGTGGTTTGAGTGTTTAGTTAAAAGCCGGTTTCGGGCTCACTCGCCTCTTCTTTTCCCTCTGAATGAATCTGACACGAGTCAAAGCACCTTTTTTTGGGGGGGGGGGATTGGGGTGGTTCAACGCGCCTGACGCCTCGAGGCTTAATCGAGTGTCTGAGTGCAGCCCCCCCGTCGCGCTTAAAGTCATTGATTGGATTGCAAATGGTCTCGTCTGGAACTTCAGCCAACCATCCCCGTCTATTCGCCAGAAAAGGACTAATTGCTACATGCTGTATCTTTCACCAGGTATTCCGCTCCACCTGCAGTAGTGTTGTTGGGCCCCCCCCCAGAGAAGGAGGTGCTGCGTGCGCAGGCTTTAGCTTTCCTCTGCAGGAAGGTTAATCAGTGTTTGCTCGGAGGTGAGAAAAGGTGTCGCTGTGTGGCAAGAGCTGTTTGCACTTTCATCCGATTCGCCATCCTGACTTTAAGGCTTATTTATTTTGAAGCCCTCATGTGAGTAGTGAGTATTAATCCGGGACCTCTGACCTTTTTTGATCAGTTCTTCTCAACCATCTCTTGGGGTTAGGGGGTGAGTTGAAAAGTGACTCAGATGAACGCCACGTTGAATGTTTCCCCGATGTCGTCATTCCTTTGTTACTGATTGATCAGCACAGGATCTTTTTTTTTTTTTTTTTTTTGGCCTTGCTCATAAGCACGGGGAAATGACATCCACGCATCGATCGAGGCCTCGCCATTGCGAGCGCGTCCGCTGACATATTTGATTTGGGAAAAGTAGGTAGTCAAATCTGGTCTTCCATTTTCCTCCTCCTGACACTGAGGTGGTTTACAGAATCAATATACTGTTGATCCACACAAAATTGATTGATGGCGTCATTACCGCCCGTAGTACATCATTCTGTCCCTGAAAAGGAAATTCTATCGAAGCGCTTTGAACCTATGTAATGTAAAGAACTCTAATACCTTTCTTTAACTAGGCAATTTGTATTTGTAAGTAACTGCTATACATATAAAAAATGACAATGTTCACTTGTCTCTGTAAAAAAAGTTGAATTGTCTGAGTGGATCCCCTAAAACTTTTCTTTGCCTTATGGTTAAAGATGAGAGGTGGTTGCGTCTGTGGAACTGAGCCAGAAACGTTTGCGGGTTGTTTGGGAGCCGGACAGAGAGAGAGAGAGAGAGCTGAGGGTTTGTTCTTTTTGTAGTCGCATCTCTTCTTCTTATAATGCATAAGGTAGCATGGGCAGAGGCTTACAATCCATGATGTAAATGTTTTGTTTGTTGTGTTTTTTTATATGTTCATATTAAAAGACAATAAAATTAAAATAATATTTTATTAAGCCTTGAATCGCCTCCAGTTGTTACTCCCAGGCAAACGGACAATAAGAATGCTGTTGGGGGGCAGCAGCAGCAGCCGAAGCCACAGAGGACTGGGAGAACTGGTTGTGAGGTGGAGATTGTTTTGTCCTGTACCAAATGCTCTGACCTGGGGACACAACATGATGCCTGTTGACGATGAAACTGTACAATTTGAAATGATCGTATTCTAACCGCTGTTATTGACGTGTGGAATTAATTAAAATCAGTTCTTAAAAAAAACTAAATACGTGCCATTGTTTTATTTTGAAAATGGTCTGTTTGTATTCAGCCAGACAGCCGCTGTCAACCAGCGGATGTGCAGATGAATTATTGCATCATCTTTTCATCGTTGAGGTCTGCAGGTGCTGCCAGAAACTCCAGGTGAAACTTCAGTCATGAAGTTTCGTCGCTTAAAGTCTACTTGGGGTTCTTGTTGCATTTAAGTAGTTTAATTTGGTTATCCTTATTTTATGTCTAGGTCTGGGAGTAAGAACGTTTACTTCCTATATAGATTGAGAGTGAATTGTATTTATTAGGCAGCATTAAATGCAAATTTAGCTGTGCTGTCCCTTCTGTCTGGATCCCCTGTTTAATGACATAAATGTGGGTGGTTGGTCCTCGGTATTCCGTTAAAAAAAGTTTAATACAACCGAATTGAATCACTTTAAATGCTGTTTAGTTTTCATATTACCACTGTTCTTTCTATATGGAGATATGGGGGGGGGGGGTCCTAATTGATGTATGTTCTGTATACTGAAGGATTTATCAGTGATTAGCAACAACGCTGATTTAAAGGCATTAAACAAATGAAGCCAAATGTGTAAAAAATAGAAGGCGAACTGTTTATATTCTACCAGTTAAATGATTGCTTTGGCTATAGATTATTAGTTTAGTTATTAGTTATATGAGCTGGAGTCGAATTTTAAAAATTAAAAAATAAGTCGACCCTCTGCTAAATGTAAGCAATAGCATTAATACAGCCAAAATGATCAAAAAAGTCTAAACAAAATGCTGCGTGAAGCCCGTTTGGTTTCAATACGGTTGTATTGTATTATTCATTCAGTTCCACCTTCTTACCGCTGGGTGGCGGTAATGCGCTTTGCAGCTTGTTTATAAACTACCATTAAACACATAAAGCAACGTTGTGAATTATAAATGGTTAAACTTGACTTCTATCTCGTAAAAAAAACTGTGTCATCATCACAAACTCATCAAATGTCTCGATTTCTCGTATCAACTCACTCTCGCGCTACTTCTATTTGAAGGGCTCTCCCCGTGGGTGTCACACACAGGTCCGATGCTGCTGCTGCAGCTGCTGCTTCCTGTATCAAGGCACCGCCGCACAAACCGAAGCCCTTCTCTTTTTTTTTTTCTTGGCCAGCTCCAGAGCCCCCCCGACCCGAGACACGGAGGAATCTGCTGCTCGGACGCTGCTGTCCTGCGGAGGGAAGAGACCAGAGTCCGTCTCCCGGTGCTCGCTGCCCGGATAAAACCGCCGTGGCCCGGGCTTTTTTCCCCTCCTTGCGCGAGAAAGAGACGCATGGGCACGATTTCTTCTTTTTCCTGGATCCGGTGCTAGCTAGTAGCAGCTAGTCGGCTAACGAGCTGGTAGCTGTTCGGCAGGAGAACCCAGAAGAAGAAGAACCAGGAAATAAAGGAAATGTGTGCACTCCGAAAGCTCTAGTTGCAGCGGACCCCCCTCCTCCACCCCCCCCCAGCATTTTAAAAACCACCTTTAAAGGATCCGATTTATCCCAGACAGCTAACTGACATGCTACCGAAAGTGTTCTGACTTTGCTAACGTTAGCTAGCTACGCCGATCCTGTTGCTTCTCACACAAGAGTTTGGGAGAAGCAGCTTCTTCGCTCACCGTCCGTGTAGCGCGTTATCGGAGAGGCAAGAAAGGGAGTTTTTGGGGTAGAAATGGCTCCTAAAAGAAGACCCGTTCCCCTGAACATAACGCCCATCGGGGAGGGACAGGCCATCTCGAACACCATCGATGCTGCTTCTGAGTGAGTGACGTGAGGCCTGGCATGAGTACAGGTGTATTGTGTCAAAAGAGCGTTGTGGCATCACTAAGAGCGTTTAGATGGAGTGGGTTAATGTTCCTGTCTCATGACATCCTCCTCCTCCTCCTCCTCCCCAGAGCCAACCTGGAGGCCTTGCAGAAGAAGCTGGGTGAGTTGGACCTGGACGAGCAGCAGAGGAAGCGACTGGAGGCCTTTCTGACCCAGAAGGCCCAGGTCGGGGAGCTGAAGGACGAGGATTTCGAGCCCATCTGCGAGTTGGGTGCCGGCAATGGAGGAGTGGTCAACAAGGTCCGCCACAAGCCCTCAGGCCTGGTCATGGCCCGCAAGGTGAACATTAACGTTCGGCGCTGCAGGTGAAGGGTGTCAGCGCTGATCTTACACATTCCAGATGTGTAGCTTTTTACTTTCACTCCACATTCCTGGTGCAGCCATTGTTTCAATGCAGCAAACCGACTCATTTCGTATATCTCATTACTTATAATTGACAAATATATGTGTATGTCCTCTTAAGTTATCTGGGCCTTTTTTGTCTTTGTGCACATCCTGCTCACAATCTTTGACAAAGCCTACGGGGATCCTCATCATAAACACTTTACTATTGTATCTTGTCTCCTCCCCTCCTCATTGGAATGGAATGGCGTTCAGTTCATGAAAAAGTATGAAAGTTATTGGGACTGCACACACACACACACACACACACACACACACACACACGTTGCATCGGGCGACTTTGCAAGCACCCGCAAGCCCTTTTAAGTATGTGTTGACACGCCAGTTCCCTTAAGTCGGCACAGCATGAAAAACCTATGAACTCATCTTCGCTATGTTGTGGTTTTCATTATTCCAAAGTGGCTGTAAATCTTACAGCAAAGTGTAGTGACTTTTAAAAAAATATATTTTTAATGAGATCCTGAATGATCTGTGTTGAGTTTACCTCAGATGAGAAAAGGAAACTGGTTGTCGTACAAACCACCGCCTCTGAAGCGTGTCGACATGTAGCGTCTATAAGAGGTCGGGGGGGAGGATGAAGCTGCTTCAGTTGCATTTGTCAGACAAACAGTCTGACGGTCGTCTCGTCGTTTTCCTTCCTCAGTTGATCCACCTTGAGATCAAGCCCGCCATCAGAAACCAGATCATCAGAGAGCTGCAGGTGCTGCATGAATGCAACTCTCCCTACATTGTGGGCTTTTATGGGGCCTTCTACAGCGACGGGGAGATCAGCATCTGTATGGAGCACATGGTGAGAGACGGACTGTGTCTGTCCTGCTTTTTGAATTATATTTCGTTGCCACGTGTAGTTTTATCTCAAATGCTATGTCACATTTGGATTGTGTGAAATGTGTTGACAGGATGGTGGATCTCTGGACCAGGTCCTGAAGGAAGCCAGAAGAATCCCAGAAGAAATCCTGGGGAAAGTTAGCATAGCTGTATGTGGTTCACTAATTATTTTGCATTTGAAATATCTCGTAATCCTAAAATAGTTTACAGTTTGAATTTGCCAGTGATGTAAAGCCCCTTAAAGCTCGTCCCTGTACAGGTTCTTTCAGAGAAGGGCTCATTGTGGGTGTGCTTCTCTTGTGGACTCGCCCAGCTCTAGAGTTTTACTGTAATTTATCAGTCACTTCTGGATTTTTACTCTCCCTGTTGCAAGTCCAAGTTAAGGGTAATGACAACACTGCCTAATTCATTTAGTTATTTATTGCTATCTGCATAAGGAAAGCCTTTCTTTTGCATGTGACGTGAGCTGTTTCCCTCATTTGTGCCTTGTGTTGAATGTTTTCCTCTCCTGTTTGCAGGTATTGAGGGGCTTAGCCTACCTGCGGGAGAAGCACCAGATCATGCACAGAGGTAGGGGCGTTCTCTAGATGCACCGGATTACATTCCAAACCCTTCTGCAACATTTTCAAATCACTGCAGTCCACAAGATACAGTGTGTAGTGTGCAAAATGAAATAACTTATCATACAATCTCGGGGTGATGGTGATCGGGGAGTATGTGGGCATTATGGTGCAGAGGGGTTTGAAGCATTCTCCCCCAATTTATACGTCACCAAATGTTATTTTAAGCATTGTATTTTGTGTTTGTCACGCAATTACTTTTAATTTTATTCATAAGCTTAAATCGAAATGGCAGGATTACAACAACTAAAAAAGTCTTTGACTTCAGATATCCCAAAAGAAGATTACAATAACAAAAAAATCTAATTCTATCTAATGGCATAGCAATTAATAACTAAAATATTGTTTTTATTTTGTTCAGTCATCCTTCATACACTTTTTCTTTACTAAAAGTAATGAACACATTGACTTTTTACAAAAGCGGCCACAGCGGGGCGTTGGACTAAAACATATTTGCATGTTTTTTAATTGTTTTATTTAGTTTTATAGCCTCAGCATATTGGTTCATGGCCATAAAATGTATCAAAATGCAGCACTGGGACAACTGCCTCGTTTCTGGCTCACAGCAAAGCCATTCCCGTTTAGAAATAATAGAAAGTAGATGTTTTTATGGGCTTTGTTTTGGTAAACCGTCCCGTCCTCTCGGTATTCCTGGCGGCTGACTTTTTGCTCGTGCCTCTGAGGCAACCAGCTGGGACGAAACACTGACAAAAAACTGCTGCGTTATCTCCTTCATTCTGCTCTCCGAAACAAGCTCAAACACACCGACGAGGATCATTTCGGTATGATTGCCCCCTCAGATGCGATTACACAGCAGCCGCGCCCTGTTGACCCCTCCCTCCGCCACCTCCTTTCTAAGTCACGTGCACTTGGTTGGTAGTGGGGGAGTGTGTGTGTGTGGGCGGGGGGGGGCAGATTGCAGGGCTCAGTCTTCATCATTTTGCAGGATGTTTTCCGGTGATGAGCGGGAAATGTGAAGGGACAGATGTGTTTGTAACGGGGGCTCAGCTATTTTTCTCCCCCCCCCCATAAACCCCCCCCCCCAAGAACCTGGGGGTTTTGGGGGGGGGGGGGGGGGGGGGCTTTGGCTGTTGTCTAAATGCTTTTAAAGTCATTCTATACCGCAAGAACTGGGTTTTTTATTTTCAAAATATAAATCTAAAAGCGTCTTTTTATATATATTTTTTTAACAGAGATGCATGCATCATCATGGACGTGTTTGTATATACACACATGCATTCATGCCCCTACCGTGATAATATTTACATACCCAAAGCCAATGTGTGTGTGTGTATATATTAACACCAGACAGGAGATTCCATCTGTAAGCCCCGCCCCCTCAGCACCTACAAAACGAATAACCTGCCGAAGTGGTCAATAGTAAGTGGTTGAGACTGAAGACGTCCCCTGATGATTTTTCCTCTTGTTTGTTGTCCCCGCGTAGATGTCAAGCCCTCCAACATCCTGGTCAACTCCCGCGGGGAGATCAAGCTGTGCGACTTTGGCGTGAGCGGGCAGCTCATAGATTCCATGGCCAACTCCTTCGTTGGAACACGCTCCTACATGTCGGTGAGTCAGCGCCGCACGCCAGCGCCCCCACCCCTTTTCCTCTGGCCCTATCCCCACTTTCCTTCTCCTCTCGTCCACTGGCCCCGCCCTCAGCCTCCCCTTCCTTCTCGCGCCCCTGCCAAGAGCCGAGGGCTGAGCTCAGGAAAGGCGTCTTTGGCAAAGAGTGGGGCGACTGCGCTCACGCTTTCTTTCCCCTCACTCTTGAGACACCTGGGGAGTGGGGGGGGGGGAGGGGGAGAGTGTTGAAGCCGCTCGCCTGGCCCCTCCCTCGCCCACAAAGCGGCAGTGGTGGAGAGACTCTCGCCCTTTCATCATAATTCCCAACACACATACACACACCACCTGTCCTTGCTCACCCTTCGCTTCCTGCCAAAGCCTCCCATCCTCTGTCCTCTTGCGCCCACCACACCCCAGCTTTCCTTGCCATAACAACCCCCCCTCCCGCCTCCCCCCCCCCCCCCCCCCATCCCACTTCCATTATCCTCTCCACCGCTTCCTGTGCCCAACCCTCCCCGCGGCCTGGCATCTTGGCTCGACCCGCTCCTCCTGACGTAGTCGTGTGCTCTCAACAGCCGGAGAGACTGCAGGGCACTCACTACTCGGTTCAGTCCGACGTGTGGAGCATGGGCCTGTCCCTGGTGGAGCTGGCGATCGGCCGCTACCCCATCCCCCCACCCGAGCCCAAAGAGCTGGAGTCCATCTTCGGACGGGCCATCCTGGACGGGGCCGAGGGGGAGCCTCACGCCAACACGCAGAGGCCCCGACCGCCGGGCAGACCCGTGAGCGGTAGGAGACGGAGGAAAACATTTGACGTCTTTAGGGAAAAGCTTTTTGAACATAGTTTAATTTTTTTTTTTTTTTTATAAACAAAAAAACCCATGCCTAAATAATAGGATTTTGTATTCACTTGTCACATGAATAATTCCTAATTGTGCTACTCTTTCACAGGGCACGGGATGGACAGCAGACCTGCCATGGCCATCTTTGAACTTTTGGACTACATTGTGAATGAGGTTTGAGAATGAGCTGATTAGCATTGCAAACATTTTATTTCTGCACATGATGCCGGTTTGCCGTCATTGTTAATGTCTTTTTAATGTGTTTCTTCCTCCTCAGCCTCCACCTAAGCTGCCACTTGGGGTCTTTACCAATGACTTCCAAGACTTTGTGACTAAATGGTAAGCATTTGGCAAATACATTTTTAGAGAGATAAATAAATAACTAAAAAAAGCAGACTTCTTATCTGCTTCTACGCTGAATTGAATCGGGAGAACTGGATCATGTAGACTGCTTTGCCGGTATATTTGATGCCATGTGACATTAAGGTGTCCGTTGGTGTTGACTAAAATGTAGTTTCTATGCATGCTGTGATAAACCTTTTCTGCGGTTGCGTATCTTGCAGTCTGATCAAAAACCCAGCCGAGAGGGCCGACCTGAAGATGTTGATGGTGGGTACCTCGACTTAATTTTCATTCTGCACAAAGTTTCGTTTTCTCTTTGATTTTTTTTTTCTTCTGTTAACTGTGCCAGCGTTACAGACAATGGTTTACTTCTTTGGTTTTCTTCCAGAGTCACACCTTCATCAAACGATCCGAAGTCGAGGAAGTGGACTTTGCCGGCTATTTGTGCAAAACCATGGGCCTCAACCAGCCCAGCACGCCCACCCGCGGCACTGAGTGAACAGCCCCCAACCTCCCAGACGCACGCCTCCAACTTGCTTGCGTACACTTAAATATATTACGCGCACACAGGCACCCACCCCCATCATGCTCTTGGGTACGGTCATTGTCCCCCCACTGTTTATTTCTCCACGCAGCAGCAGCAGCAGCAGCAGCAGAGCCCTTTGAGTCGTTGTGCTTTGAGTGTGTCGAGAGGAGCCACGGCTCACTTTTCCACACCGCTGCGGTTTGATTGACACACTTCTTTTTGTATTGTCCAATATATATATATACACACAAATATTCTGCATTAACCTTTTTTTGTATGGCAACAGTTAAATAAATGCCCTTCTGGACAGATTTCCAAACACCTGCTTGAAAGATTAGTTCTATTGAAGGTGAATGAAGCTACTCTTGTCCAACATATCCATGCATAAATGTTCTAAGCCGAGGCCTTGCAAATACCTCCGATGTCATAATTAGATTTGTTAGTAGAGACAGCAGGATTGATGGGCATATACGGAGAATGTGAACTATTTGGCAAAAGGGTGATTGATCACTCTGCCGATCACTTTGTGAACAATCTCACAAACCAAAGAGGCTGCTCTCGACGCCTGACGCATATGATTTCGCGAATGGTTTTATTTTTTTATTCGGTCGATCTACGCTGTGTTGACATTTGTTTTCTGAAAATCCATTTATACGTGCATCCCACACGGTTTCTGCAGCGTGTACTGTGGAAGTCTGATGAATGACTGATCGAAATCTGTTCATGGGATGATACAGCATGGTTTATCTTTCTAATACCTTTATTTCCCAAGATCACGATGGGGATGATTTGCTGGTGTTTTAATCAAAAGCCTGAATCTCTTTAATATTGATGAAGTTCCAATCACATTGACTCATTTAAATATTTACCTTTTCTTTGTTGTCGTTCTGGACTTTACCCTGAAGTGTATTTGGTTATGTTTTCACTGTACTGCTTTGTGTGGCACTCCCAAGCTTTCTCTTGGGACAGAACCAGCCAACAGGCTTGGTTTTTGGGAAAGACTTGGGTTGAAATGCAATTTCACAACATTTCCCCTGTAATTCAACCCAATTAATGGGATTTAAAAATAGTACAACTTCAGTATGAAGGGTTTGACTGACTATTTGAACCCAGGTCGGTGTTGGTCACATGGTGGTGGTACTTGCTAACCCTTTCTTATGCCCCCCTCCCTCCAAAATGCACATTTGTTCAGAGCAAAATTAATGCATTATAACTTGTATGTGTACAAAGCTGTATACACAAATTAAAGGAGTACTATTTTGCTGTCTTAATATACAAATTTTGATTTATGTAAATGACACGGGAGAGCAGTCATTTTATTATAATATAAAAATGTGTTGGATATGGTTATGATGTATAAAAATATAAAAATAAATCTTATTTGTCAATGTGCTTTATGGTGTTATTTATTAATGGCAGCCAAAGCAGTTCACTAGGTCTTTACTACACAACAATTAAGATATAAATATGTTGATGTATTACAGTTAGGGTATATTTTAAACTGGCAGTCTCTATTGATTGTACTTTAATGTTTTGTGTGTAATATTGTGACAAGGTACACAACACCCTCAAAAAGGGGAAACACTTTCTTATCAACACCAGAAAATAACAATTTGTGAAATGAAGTTGAGACTAAACTACAATGACACACATTTGTGTGTCTGTGGGTTGTTTTACTCACGCACGTTTGTGTGTCTGTGTGAAGGTCTTCCCGTGGATGGATGGATACTCGTTTCTGATTGGCTGACAGGTGTCTGACAAAATTCCATCCCCAAACTGAAGCTTCAGTAAACTAACGTTATCTACAGATTGAGAGATAGCTGGACCCAGGTTCTAACGTTTAGACTTGGTAAGTGTTCATTTTAATACCCTTTTTATGAACATAATTATAAAACATATTTTTGTATCATTATTTACTTTAGCGCCATCTTAGTTCAGCGTCTAACGGCTATCGTTACGGGCTGCGTTAGCTAACTAGCTAAAGACTAACTAACGTTAGCTAATTTCTACCCAAGAAAGAACGTTTAATTTAAATGAATTAGCTTCAATAAAGTAACAACACTTTAAATCCGGACATTGCAATATACAGTTAACGTTATTTATGCTTCTGTAACTTTTGTGTACTTACCCAAGTGTTTAAGTCATGGCCAACAGACACATTTTTACATGTACCGTTAGCTTCAACATGGCTAACGTGCTATTAGCATTAACGGTTTCAGTTAACGTTAGTAACTGCAGTAGGTCAACTGTCTTGTTTGTTTGGCTAACTCATGAACATTATTCGGATGGAAATGATGAAGACGAATTAGATGTCTGAACTTGAAGAGGACCAGTCTTTATTGGACGGGGAGATGGGACTGCCATATAACAATGTCTGGCAACATCTCAGCCACGGGCCCCATGGACGTGTGAGCAAGACTGCGCTCATTTTCAAAGGCAAGTCGTGTAAACATTATGTATTCATATATTTGTTTATAGTTTTCATTTCACCACAAGGCTGCAACTCCTCCACCTGCATCCTCTTCACTTTGCACATCGCAGAGACTTGATGGCACCACACGTCCAACTGCAATGAATGTCTGACGTTTAAAAAGCTGCCATTTCCCTCGTGCCTGAGCAGAAACAGATCTCTACAGTGCCCTCTAGGCAAAGGGTGTGTCACTACCTCGCCCTCCCAAACAGCCCCGTGATTCTCCTTAATGGTTTGTGTGTGTGTGTGTTGGGGGGTGGGTGTGTGTGTATGTGCAACACTGTGTTAAGCATGTTTTACGATTACGTGGGCTTCAAACACGTGACTTAACGCCAATTTAGAGGTGCAAAGGAATCGCCAAATACATCTTTTGCTCCATCCCACTCAGTGGTACAATGGCTGGCTTGCACTCGCCGAGGGGGCGCGCGCATGCGGGTGGGCGGTTGGAAGTGGCGCAACATCAAGCGCAATAGCTCTGAATTCACACATGGGATCTCGCAATTTCCCACTGCGGGATAAGACGTCTTTAAACTTGGTAATGTGCACTCGGAAGCCTCACCTGTTGGAGCTTGGCAGGTATTATGTACAGAGAAAAGTGGATCGAGGGGGGCTGCTGGCAGCCCCTTGCTGTATGTGTTGGAATGTGCCATGGCTTGCTATTGGGGTGGGACACCATGACCTCAGGCAATAGAAAGGGTGGGTGCGACTAGACTCACATAGGAAAGGAGCAGTGAGAGATGAGGTGGGTGAGAATTGACAAGAGTTTCAGCTCGTTTACCCTTCGACCAAACGTCTGAGTGTCCACAGATGGAACCATTGGCTGACATTCGCAGTAGAACCGCCCAGTGGGAGGGCATGGGTTAATGATTTGTGTCGTCTCTAAATGGCTTTATGGCTTTGACAACT